GTTGGTTGATTTAAATTTTGTAACGATCTCAAATGTTTTGATAAGCTGTCTAACATTCGTCTAAGTTCAGCTGCCGATTCTTGTTGTATATTTGAAATGTCAAATATAGCCTTGACGTGATTGTGAATCAATAGGTTGTCATTATTATACCTATTTAATAGAGTATCCCACGCCACTGTATAATTGCTAGCTGAAAATTCTATATACCGAATGACTTGTGCGGCACCGCCCTCTAAGGATGCACGCAGATAATGGTACTTTTGAATGTTGCTAATAGATGCATTTGTATGTATAAGACTATCGAACATGTCCCTAAACTCCAATCAGCTGTTAGACTCTCCGGAATACTTCGGTAAACTGATCTGTGGCAGGCGAACATTCGCGACCGAAACGTCGTCTGCATGATTAGACGCCTTTCCGTTATTAATTGACCCTGACTGAGAGGCAAGTTGTTGATTTTTTGCATCATAGAACGATCCTATATACCTCTTGCTTATGGCTGCAAGACTATAATGACTATTTGTGAAGTCATCACGTTGTTTGATTAATTGATCATCAATTGGATCCTCTATACTTTCGATCTCCTCTTGCAGTTGCTCGAACTCATGGAACAAAACAACTTGTCTCTCTAGTCTTAACTCTAGCTCTATTATACGCTCCTCATCGACCGCCGCCACTGAACTACCATTTAACAACCGTTTAAAGTCGTCTAAATATGTTTTAAATTGCTCAAGCTTAGAAATTGAGATTCACGTTTTTTTAATAATTTCCCTAAGCCTTTTGACGCCATAATTACACCTTTCGATATCAAAATTACCTCAAATATATTTAAAATATGTTTTAAATTAAAATACAAACGTTTTATTTATTTAAAAATAGATAGCAGATAAATAATAGCTGAATTCATTAGGCATATTAATTACATTCTGAGAATTTATTTGTTTTTGGACGTTAAGAAATTAAGGAGTGCTGAATTCGCTTATATACAATTGAAATAATTCGGTAAAATGGAAGAAAAGTACAGGAATATGAAAAACTCACATTTAAAATGTACGGTTCTCGCTATCAGCTCTGTCTCTCCACCTTGCCTGGTTCACTGTACATTTGTCCAACACTGAACTTGATTGAACGTCGCTTCTCGTTCTACAATGTATGGTTCTTCTTCTTCAAGTTCCACTCCTATCGGAGATTGGAAATCATTCTGGCAATTATAATTTTATTGGTTACTCGCCTGAATAGTTCAATTGAACTGCATCCAAACCACTCACGGAGATTGCGTAGCCACGAGATTTTACGTCTTCCTACGCTTCTTTTACCTTTGATTTTACCCTGCATTATGTTCCTTAGTAGTTCGTACTTTTCACCTCTCATGATGTGCCCCAAGTATTCCAATTTCCTGATCTTTATGGAATTTAAAACTTCGCATTGTTTTCCTAGTTGTTCGAGAACTTGTTCGTTTGTTTTGCGATCCATCCATGATATTTTCAAAATGCGTCGGTAACACCACATTTCGAATGCTTCTAGGTTTTTAATGTTGGATTTTTTAAGTGTCCAAGCTTCAACTCCATACAAGAGGGTAGAGAAAATATAACATCGAAGCATTCTTATCCGGAGCGATATATTGATATCGCGATTACAAAAAAGTTTTCTCATTCTATTAAAAGTTGACCGCGCAATTTCAATGCGGCATCTTATTTCTTTTGTCTGATCAGTATCTTCTGTGATCCATGCTCCAAGGTATTTGTACGAAGATATTTGTTCAATTTCTGTATTATCTAGTACTAGCTTAACTTTGATGTTTTGTGCTTTTGTAAATACCATGAACTTGGTTTTCTTCAAATTGATTTTTAGTCCATAATCGTTGCAATATATATTTAGTTGTTCAGCAAGGTGTTGCAGTTCTTCTAGTGTTCCTGCCAAAAGGACGGTGTCGTCAGCATATCTTATGTTATTAAGTGGCTCACCGTTTATTATAAGGCCCTCACTGATCTCGGCAAGCGCTAATTCTGAGATGGCTTCACTGTATAAATTGAATAACAAGGGTGATAAAATACACCCTTGGCGGACCCCACGGCAAATCTGGATATCCTTGGTCAGTTCGTTTTCAACTTTCACTTTTGCTGTTTGATTCCAATAGAGGTTACAGATGATTCTAATGTCTCTACTGTCTATGTTTTTATTTAATAAAATAAATAAATAATAAATAAATAAATGTATGGTTGGGCGACTGCAATTGATTGACGTTCGTAGATTCTGGATTTCAATGGCGCGAATTGTAGCTTCTTGCCGGCATATCACTTTCGATGTTTTTAACACTAATTTGAGTAATTAATGGATTTCACTAAGATTTCCACAGTTTACTGGTTATGTGGCTACGAAGGACCGAATGTTATGTTGTTTTACTTCCCGCTATGTGGGATTTTACTTTCGATTTAGTTGGATTGAATTAATTGACTAAGGAACTACAGAAACATGTCTTTATTGTCTGACTTTCGGATTTACAATGTTGTTCTCAACGACGGTTAAGAACCAAGCCGACGTACAAACTTCGCGGTGCGCGGTTGCCGCGTCTATATTAAAATATAAATAAAACTGTCTTTAACAATGTGTAATATCACATAAGACTTGTAAGCATCGAGCAATAAGACAAAAGTGGGAATCTAATCGTTATAAAAAGGAGACCAAAAAAGTGGCCTCTGATGGCGGACATATCCGGAAATGCAAATGCGCCAAATTTAAATTTCATGACACTTGACAATAATCATACAGTGGTGTAGGGGTTCTAATTTATCTATTTATTTATTTTATATTATATATTTATCTATTTATTTATTAAAATACTTTTTTTAACACTAGAAACAATAAAGTTTTAATTAATTAATAACGATAATAGTCTAAAATGTTAAACAATTGTTAAAAAACTTCAATAGAAAATATAAATAAGCTTTCATGTGACAGTTTTGACAAACAATAACATAACCAACTAAATTTGATTTCTTAAACAAGGAAAGAGATTCTCTTTCTTTGTTTAAAGTGGCCTCTCAAAATAGCACTTCCTGTCTATCAATATGTTTACCCCCACTACCTTTACATTCCCTCTTTTGTCTTATTGCTCGATGCTTGTAAGTCAGTTGGTCGACTTACCCTGGAAACGAATTAATAGACGTTATTTTTGACAGACTAAAAATTATTAATCTGTCAGTGTAAATATAGCGGTAATTTAAATACAGATAAATAAAATGAGTTCATGGAATAGTGAAGATGAATTTAGTAGCACACCACCCAATATTATGCAGTTAGCTGCGAACGCTACCGAGAACCTATTACCAGAAAAATCTAGCTAGAGGAGATATGAAAAGGTATATCAGCAATTCATGGATTGGTGTAAGACAAATAATGTAAATTCATTTTCTGAAAACGTACACTTGGCTTATTTTGGAGAAATCGCTAAGAAATTTAAACCATCCTTATTATGGGCAGTATATTCTATGCTAAAATGTTACATCCTGATGAAATAAAACTTTTTTTAAATGGAGCTCCTGATGTCCAGTACTTGTTAATAAAGGTATGTTATTTAAAAGTATAACATAAATGTGCCTACTTATAATTCTTTTATTTTAACGTTATTGCAATTATTGGAATATGTGGAGCTTGTAGAACAAGAGTTAAAAAATTTAAAATTTGTGACATTGATGATTTAAGTACCATGTTATTGGTTAAAATTCCTGATGCGAAAACCAAAATATGTAGATCTTTCGTTATTTCCGGAAATTTCTATAAAATCTGCAAACAATATATAGAAATTCGACTACAGATTAGCGATCCGCAAATTTTTTCTTAATTACCAAAGAGGTAAATGTACGAAACAGGTGGTAGGATTTAACAAAATAGGCGGTGTTCCTAAACAAATAGCCGAATATTTAAAGTTACCAGATCCCAAAATGTACACATGTCACTGTTTAAGACGAACTTTTGCCACTATTTTGGTAGATGCCAGTGGTGATTTAATGGCTCTTAAACGACATGGCGGATGGAAATCTTCAACAACGGCCGAAGGATATGTAGATAAGTCGATACATATATTTCAAATATCTCATTCAAAAAACTTTTTGTTTATTCTAAGGGACTTTCGGCCCTCGGTAATACTGTAATCTTTCATTCTGCGTTTAAATTTTTAAAAAATATTGGTTAGTTTTCTCAGGATTCGAAAAAAATGAATGCATTTAAAAAGTATTGGCCCGAAATATTGCGCCTACGCTCTTAAGTATATCAGTCTACTATACGAATATCATCAGCAATCTTAAATTACTTTGTCGTAGTGACTACAAAAAAAAATTGGAAAGTTCAAAAATATTCGATATTTTTGTCCATGAGTATATTAAAACTAAAAAATATTCTAAAAACAACAAACGTAAACAATCGTACACGATCTGACACAACGATCATAACAGTATGGCTGAAGTCAGGTCGTTTTTAGTCACGTGATGCCCTCTCAATATATTTTAACTCGATGCTTCAAATACACAGAATCTTCTATATATGGTTCTTATGAAAGCATCTTTTCAGTATTCCATTTATTTTTAATACGTGTACAAGATAACGACGAAAAAACTTGATAAAATCATTCGATAAAACTATGTGCGCTGTAAATTTCATTAGTCAGGTGCTTATATTACAATATCTATAAATTATTTTAACTTACCGTAAACAGGCGAGATTCAAAAGATGCAGAATAGGAATCAGAGGAAGAAACACCACCAGAAGTTGCAAGACGAGTCGAAAATCGTAAAAACGGAAACGTATGATTCAAATTGCTATAAAATACCACTTTAATTTCACAACTTACATTATTTACAAGTTGTATAACTTTACTCACATGTGACTAATACAATCCTGGCAGCTACCAGATTTTATGAGTCAGATAGTGACTTACTGTGATGTAATTCATTCGAAAACCCTGCTCTCCGTAAATAAAAATTACTTTAACTTATTTTATACAGGCGATATTCAAGAGGTAGAATACGAATCAGAGGAAGAAACACCACGAGAAGTTGCGAAACCTGTCGATGAAACTAAAAAGACGTCAAACGAGAAGAGTAACTCTACGGAAATCGTTTATTCTGACGACGATTGTTATGAAGATGGATTTCCTGGATTTGCTCGAGCTTCAGATACCCAAAGGTAAGCGTTTGTATTTTCAGTTAGTTATAAGCTTTACACCCTGCAGTGAAAAGTCTATTTAAGAACACTGTTTATATGAAGATTTAAAATATTTATATAAAAATGGGTCATCGAAACTTACTCGTTTTGCAAAAGTAAAATTTAAAAAACTTATCGTGTTGACAAATTCCTAGAAGTTTATAAAAGTTACATGGTGTTCTTCCATCATCCTTATCGTCCAAAATACGGAACCACAATGCAAATTATTGATACAAATGGTCGTTTTAGCTCACAAAGGAAACGATTTGAGATAGATCCTGAGCATCAAGAACGCTACGAGAAAAGAGTGGCTGAAGTCAAGGAACAGAGAAGAAGAGTATATGAAGCGATGAATATTGATCCGAAAGGTAAGCATATTATTAATATCGATCTTTAATCAGCTTGAAATGTTTCGATGTAGCGCTGTGTTCCGTTTCCGTTTTCTCAAACCTTCATCACTGACTTATGTATATTTTGTAATGAATGATCCCCGGACCGAAGATCTCACTAGCTTAATGCTAAAGTCTAAATTTTCACCGATAGTCGATTGAATATACGCGTGTAAGGGTAACACTCTCGGTATAATTCAATGTATGAGTAGATGACCAAAGCGACTTCTAGACCAGGAAATGACGTCACATAGCTGATAATCGAAGCATCGTTGGAGAAGGGGTTGTTAAAGAAGTAACAAAGGGTTGTATGCTAGAGGGCTAATTGTCAAAAGGTCCTGAGATATGAAGGTGTGTATAATGGATCATGAGAGAAGACGACGGGAACAACGGCATAAAAAATAAAACATGCCGTCTTGCCAAAAGCACATTACGCTTTTAACGCCTAAACGTCTTAACGTACAGAAACGTGTGATTAGTCACGAGATAGGATTTAACGAATAGAATGCAACCATGTCTCTGTGCGATAAAAACGTAAAGTCCTTTTGGCAAGACGCCTTGTTTTATTTTAGTATGTTATTGTAACCCTCGCATTCCCTGCTTGCCCTACTATAAATCTCTTTATTCTTTAGTTTTTTGGCAACCCCATCTCTAAAATGTGGCTCGTGCATTGCGATCGGAAGTGTGTGACGTCATTTACTGGTCCAAAAATGGCATTGGTCATCTACTTTCACGTTTCCTGTCAACGTGATAACTCTAGTATTATCCTGTTCATGGCCGGAACATTCACAGCTTATATTCCGATCATTTATGATTCTTTAAAAACTTAATTTAAAACCGTATATTTCCCTTTTGTTTAATTTAATGGCACTAAAATTTGCAAATTTCTATCGCTTGTTTTATAAAACTAACCTCGAATTTATAGATGAAGTAGAGAAGTATCTAAAACACGAGAAGGAACAGCGGGAATCTAAAAAACGCGTACAAGAATGGACGGAATTCATAACTCCGATCCTAGAAAAGACCAGCGAGAAAGATTTCGATGTACATGAATACGAGACAAGAATCTTGGATCAAATTGAAGTAGATGAGAGTAAACAATTCAAAAACATGGTTGAAGGAAAACCCTCCGCTGAAGTAATAAGGTAAGATGCGATTTTATTGAATTTACTCTAGAATGTCTAGAATTTTTTCTAATTTAGAGTGTTTTTATCATTGTCCTCTTAGATTTCCTGATAAATATTTTAAATCTACCTTGTCCTATTTTGTTCCTACTCTTACTATATGTTTAACAATTTATTTAGCTCACAGAAATCATCTAGCCTAACCTAACCTTATCGACTGTACTGTTAGTTGAAGGTCAAGCAGTATACAAATGTCACTTGTCACAAGTCATTTGTTCATTTACCTTGATTTCACACCGTTTAATTCTTGTTTGTTTGTTTTTTGTTCGTTCGTAACATAAATTAATACTTTTAGGTTTTTTGTTGCCTCGTTGCATTTGGCGAACACTGAAAATATCGAAATTTCTGGTAGTAAATCGGGAGAATTATCGAACGAGACGTTTACCATTAAATTGCTAAAGCGTGACAGGTATCACGAGCATTTAGCACAGTATGAAGCTCCTTCGTTAGAAAACTTCCGAGAACGAATTAAAAGAATGAGAGAACAACAGGTAAGTGCGATTTTTATTTATACGAGGGAAAAAACAATAATTTAACGTGTTACGCTGATAAAATATCCACGGACAACGTATTTCCTTTATATTATTCTTATTAATCATTCGATATTAATGAAATTCTCACATATCGTAGGAAATAGTCAAGTAATTTGCTTGTATCAAAATATTATGTTATAACGAATTTAAGTTGTATATCAACTTTCAGAAAATTTTGAAACTATAATTCCAGACATTTTCGTATCCATGGGTATTAAAACCGAAGACTTTTTTAGAAATACAATTCATAAATCAAATAGTTTTGCTCTGATACACATAAGTCGGTAAAGCGCGTAGTAGTCGCGGTAAAGCATTAACATTAATAAATAATCTATACACGGAAAACATGACAGTGTGACTATATCTTTTTACAGAGTGTCGAAGTACCAGTTGAACAAATTCAGCCGGTCTATAAGCGTCAAAGGATCGAACGAAAGCAAAAGAAACGGAAGAGAAAGTTTGTGGTATCGTCCAGCGACGAAGAGGAAGATAGTGGTTATCAGGCGGATTCGTATCAAAATGTAAGAAGCTCTAGAGATTTTGAAGATAGTGGCTACCAGTCGAATTCGTATTATAGTGTACGAAGCTCAAGAAATATAGCAGAAGTTACTCAGGGATCTCAAATTACAACCATAGCCGATATACATCAAACACCTGTGCGGTCACATCCAGCGAAAAGGTCGAAAGGCAGTGAGAGTCATACACCAAATCCTATCAAAGGAAAGAGTGGTTATCAGGCGGATTCGTATCAAAATGTACGAAGCTCTAGAGATTTTGAAGATAGTGGCTACCAGTCGAATTCGTATTACAGTGTACGAAGTTCAAGAAATATAGCAGAAGCTACTCAGGGATTGTCTCAAATTACGACCATAGCCGATATACATCAAACACCTGTGCGGTCACATCCAGCGAAAAGGTCGAAAGGCAGTGCGAGTCATACACCAAATCCTATCAAAGGAAAGAGTATACCGGTTAGAAAATCTTTCAGCGAAACCAGTACCTTCGATATCGATTCTCCTTCAACATCTGGAACATACAGGGTAAGCGATTTATTTTTTATTTAACCTGCAGTTCTATCGGTGACGGTTTTATCACCTTAATACATACTAGCCGTAACCACACATAAACCATTGTAGTTGTAACTTACAATAGTGTCCCTAGAGTTTTTTTGGCTTGTTTGGTCCTTCAATGTTCTTCTATGTTTAATAACTTGCTCGTTCATTAACAGTAAGCGGGGAGCTTTAAGTTTGATAGGCAACCATCTAGAAAGCTCCACGAAGTGACCTTTGAAATTCCAAAGTGTCCAAGAACTTGTTGTAATTATCGTTGCAAGAAATGTTTGTATTAGGGGCAGGAATTGAGGAAATGCGCTTTCGTCGTAGCGCTGGGATAGATTCTGATCATCTTGGCAGGGCCACCGTTCTGTCAAGAAAACGCGTGGGAAACTGTCGAACTCTAGATTCGCATTCTTATCGAAGTAATAAAAAATAAAAACACTTGCGAATTTATTGATAAGATTCGGGATTAAAATTAATGATTTTCCCGCAGGCAAGTTGTTCTCAGTTTGAATCTTTTATACAATATTTAGAAAGTGTCAATTTTAACGTGAGAAATTTAGTGATAACAAACAATGAAATAAGTAATTAAAATTAGGTCATATGTAAAAATATTAAAAATAATAAAAAATAAAATATTGAAGTAAACACCAAATACTTTTCCAAACAGAGCTGATCATTTGGGGCCCAAATTTTCTGCTCAATTTAATGTGCGAGAATATGATGTCTTTCGCATTTTAATGGTGGTCAAAAGTCCTCTGTCTGTTCTCATTGTGTGCAACACCATTTCGTTCGTAATATATATTTATATATTTGAGTTTCTATAACCAAAAACAATTATTTACAATATCTTTGGAACCAATTGGAAGAAACCTAAAGCCATCAACTTTCATGCAATGGTTAATATTTCGACAACCTTTTCTTTTTTTACTTTAATAATTGTTGCAAAGTATATAAACTTTCTGTAAATTGTTTTGACTTTTCTCTTCCTTCTATTCCTTATTACTCTTCTCCAAATTGTTTGTTTGGAAAAGTATTTAATGCTTACTTAAATGAATAGTGGGCCGCAACAATGTTGTGAGCGACAGAATTGAGATTATGCAAAAGATGAAAAAAAAAAAATTATTGCTATGTATTGAAAAAGTTATTATTAGCCATTATTCTCGTAGGATCATCGCTGTCGAATTTGAACCAACGGTACTCAGTGATCTTACATTTGGGATCTTTCCATAAGTAGTTCTCACATTCTGAAAAGTCTTTAAAGTCTTTTTACTTCATGTAGTACACATTGAAGGGCTTGCTGGGACGTGAGTTGGCAATCACTGCCACCCAGCCGAAGGGTACATTCACCATTGCTCTTTTTTTCTTTCTCTCTATGAGCGAAGAGTCACGGTAATTTGACATTTGACCATTTCATTTCGTTGATTTCGTTCATTTTATTAGGCCTATTATTGTGTTTTCCACGTTGATCACGTAGCGGCATATCTGTTTTTATCTTCTGCTGAATGTGTTGGATTCTTCGAGGTGATATTCCATTCCAAATGCTTGACATATAGTTTTTTGGCACACTGTTAATTTCTTCAGTACAATCTGGTACATTGTCGTTTCTAGCAGATACATATGCTTCACCTGCATTTCTCTGACGCTTACGGATGTTTCTTTTCCACTGGTTAATATTGATTTTGCGTTTTTTCCCTCTATATGCAAAAGGGTAGACAGTTAACCTCCATTACCACCATACAGTGATAGTAGTTTGACAATGATACTAAAAACTCAGGGAAGTCAAAATGTTTTTTAGCCAGATTGAAAGATGCTCGCATTGGTCTTTGGATATACAACAATATTGCATTAAAACCTCACTTTGACCCAATCTGTCGCTTACAACATTGTTGCGGCCCACCATTCAATTATTTTATTATTCTTAGTACTTTTAACATAGCATTATAACCTTATTTAATTATTTGTTTAATTGTTTATTTTCATTACTATCTATTGTTATTTTCTTCTTTAACATAAAGTCTGACAACGCGACTGTCGCGTTCAGTGATAATTGCCAAGAGGCAGGCAACGCGAGTCGCGCGTACTCCTGAGTATATGCGGAGTGTCCTGAACATCCTGGATTGTGCGTAGACAATTGTTTCAGACGTTTTCATAATGAAATTGAAAATTAATTGTTTTAATTTGTTTTCTTGATGCTGTTACTATTTAATAATTACTTATGTTAATTATCTAGGTACATAATTATATTTTTTCTGAAGCAGATTATTTTTTAAAATTTCAAGCGACACATTTTCTGCTCTGTGGCCACCAATCCGACTCACGTGCTGATTTTGTTTTTATAACCGAATCAATTTTTCTTGTATCCACATTTATTGTAAATGGTTTTTTAAGGTGTACCTTTAAAATTCATTCGTTTACACGAATACATCTCAGTGCCCCAATGTTTACCCTTAAAAAAAGAGATGGAGGTAAACGTGTTAAATTTCCTGCGTTAAAATTGGCACTCTAGATATTTTATAAAGCTACAGATTAAGGACCATGTGTGTGTGTGTGGAAAAAAACACTTGAACTAATCAAATTGAACCTCATTAAATCGGGAAGTAATATTTTTATTACCGTAAAATAACTGTGCAAGCAGGATTTTTGTAAATTTCACACCATCGACCTACGTAAATAATTTCTCACCCTCAGCGATAGGGCAGAACTCAACCTGATCTTTAAAGTAGCAGTCGCAACGGCAAAAAGTCTTCACAGGGAGAATTATTACAACCTGAGTCTCGTAAACCCTATTTTTTACTTCCTGCTACGACGACTAGAGACCCGATTCTTCTTCTTAGCTACTGCTGCCATTGTTTACAATCAAAGATACATGGTTATTTTTTTGTTAATAATTTATGAGTTGTGGCAATTTACAACTTCAACCATATATTAATTACTATTTATAACTGGGAATAAGCCACAATTAAAGATAAAAAATACGTTTATTGACGTTTCAATTTCCAATTCGGAAATCGTTCTCAAAATACAAACAGTAAATTAAACAAATTTTGTTTTTTGTTACATAGTGAAAAAATTCTTCTAAGAATTTAATTTTATCTGACTCATTTATATTGACAATTCAGACATACATTATGCATTTTAAAGTAGACGACTTTAAAATGATATTGCCAATATTGTTGAGTTGCGCTCCTGGGACGACTTTACTATAAGATAGTTCATTCGATTACATGAAATCAACTTTAACTTGAGAATATCCGTCAGAAAAAATCATAGCATGTAATTCGTCTTTAAAAAGACAAACACATGACATGATGACAGTAAAATTCTCCTGTTAGTGATTCCATAGTAAATTATGAGGGAAAAACCAGGAAAAAAACCTCATAATACTATCCCGACATTGTAAGTATTTGTTCGTGAATTTAGTTTACCTTCAATAAACATCAAAATTCTGATTTTATATGTTACGTTATTTAAAAAACATAAATGATGTATCCTCTATATGTTACTGACTTACTAATACTGGTATTTTCTTATTAATAACTTCCTCTTTCAATATTGGTAACCAGATCCTACTACATTCTGCCGAGGAATTTGCGACACAATTGGCCTCATTTAGCATAATTAGAGCCGCTTCTTAATTGGTTTTTCCCTCATAATTTACTATGGAATCACTAACAGGAGAATTTTACTGTCATCATGTCATGTGTTTGTCTTTTTAAAGACGAATTACAGGATATGATTTTTTCTGACGGATATTCTCAAGTTAAAGTTGATTTCATGTAATCGAATGAACTATCTTATAGTAAAGTAGTCCCAGGAGCGCAACTCAACAATATTGGCAATATCGTTTTAAAGTCGTCTACTTTAAAATGCATAATGTATGTCTGAATTGTCAATATAAATGAGTCAGATAAAATTAAATTCTTAGAAGAATTTTTTCACTATGTAACAAAAAACAAAATTTGTTTAATTTACTGTTTGTATTTTGAGAACGATTTCCGAATTGGAAATTGAAACGTCAATAAACGTATTTTTTATCTTTAATTGTGGCTTATTCCCAGTTATAAATAGTAATTAATTTACAATGCCACAAGAAAATAGCTTCAGAACAATTTCAACCATATACATTCAATATTTTACTACTTTAACTAATTAACCAGCTAATTCATATTTCCTACATAAACATTGCCCCTCATCTTTTATGCTACTCTGTATTTCTCCTTAACATTCCGCTCCACCTCTGCCAGTTTTCCTCATCCTTACTCCTAAAATCTCATACATTTTTAGATAACTTTTAATACAGCTTTTACCAGTTTTAGCTTGTTATACTCGAATAATCTTCTTTGTTGGCCTTATGTAAAAGATATGAATAAATAGTATGTAATATTTTTAAATTCACAGGCACCTTCACCTGAGCCATCGGAGACTCCCGTCCAAGAAGGATTTTACTCAGATGTTTCCCAAACACAATTTCATTCAACGCTGCTAAGTTCCACACTCGCTATAACCTCAGAGTCGACTTAACCTAATGATTTTGGTTCGTTTTTTTATCAGTAAATATTTGAATTCTGAGTGAACTAATTTTTAACAACTAAAAGCTGTAAAGAGCTGGAATTTTTGTAAGTGAAGTACCTTGAAAGTGCAATTTTTATGAAAGAATTTTCAACGAACGTGATTTTTGTAGCAATAGAATAAGAATTCAGCAATAGAGTCGATCGATGCAAATTACACTTCCGTTAAAACTTATTTATAATGACGTCTCTACGTCTGGGTACACGTGTAGCTCTCATAGAGCCACGCTTATACCAACTTTAGACATTATTCGAAGGAATAATGTTTAAATGGATAGGGGCAAACAGTTTTAAGTTTTCAATGCATCTCGATTGGTATCCTGAGGGGAAAAATGATATAAAAACTATTTTTTATAAATTTATTGAAATCTGATCGTACTTCATTAGTTTTTTGTTGCGGTATATTGCTCGTGATGCTTTTGTAGCAGTATTATTGCTGTAGTCGTTTATCGAAATATATAAACCGCGATACTTTTGTCGCAGTTTCTTGTCGTTTCAAATTTATCGTTATATTTTGGTCGTGGTACTTTTGTCGCAATATTTATATTGCTCTTTTTCGTTTAAGCATATTGGTCCTTATATTTTTTTCGTAGTATTTTGGCTGTGGTCAAGTTGGGTTCAGAACGGAAATTCACAGTCTCTCTGAACGTGAAAATAAATCTCTTGTGTCTTAGGAAGCAACTCTAACATGGCTTCGAATGGCCGTAAATAGCGACATCTGATATTAAATCCGTTAACTAATATATACATTAATTATATACATTACGTGTTCATATTAAAGCTAGTTCAGGAGTGACACGAGTTCTGCTACATTGCAGTTTTACATTATATAAGTCACCGTCCGTGAAACTTAATGTGTGTCATATAATCAATTACTTTTGTAGCAAAGGAATTATTTAAAATTCCTCGGTTTCGATTCCGCGGAAACACGTGGGTGCCAGTACAATTGATACTGGTACTTTTGTAGCAGTATTAGCAGTATTTATATTACTGTTTTTGGTTGCGTCGTATTGGTTTGTGTATTTTTGTTGCGGTACTTTGTCTAGGTATAGGTCTAGGTTTTATTTTTGATGCGGTATTTTATCGAACTATATGGATTGTGGTCATTTTGTTACAGTATTCTCGATATATTGGTCATTTTAACGCTATTTCTGGTGTGTTCTTTTGTCGAACTATATTACTTATGGTACTTTTGTCGCTGTTTTTTAGTTTAATATATTTTTCCTTGCACTTTTGTCACTTTATTTTTACTTCTGTTAGTATGTTGGTCGTGATATGTATGTTGCAGTTTTCTTTGCTGCGTTTTTTTAGCAGTATTTATGTCTTTATTTTTTGTGACTGGGTATTGAGCTTTGTACTTTTGTCATTGTGTTTTTGTAGTGGTCTCTTGTCTCAGTATAGTGATCTTGGCACTTTTGTTGTAGTATATAATTGCGGTATTTTGTCTTAGTATTTATATCGCTTTTATATCATTAATTTGTGTAATATGTTTCACCTCTTCCTTATTCTAGAGACTAGTATTCTGATCTGTAGTTCTAAAATTCGGTTTTGTTTATATATAAGACTGAGGTTATTAGTTTTAAAATATTTTAACTCAATTTCACATTCTATTTCAAGCCGAACATAGTGTAAACATTTTTGTAAACATTTTATTCGAAGATTGGTAATGTTTTTTTTATTTTTTTTTATTATTATTTGCTTGTTGCTTATCATCTTTGTGATCAAGATAGAATTCTAAGATTTTTGTTCTCCTATGGCCAACCTAGGATGTATTTTCCATGTTAAGCAAGAAAAGGTAATTGAATACTAGTATATAAGAGCAAAATTGCTGTTGTTGATTCAATATATCGTTTATTAAGGGCCTAAGTTATTTTGACACTATTTTGCACCGTTTGACTATTAATAGAATATGGGACACCCTCCACTCCCGCGCTGACGTCATAAGCCCTTCCGCCCAAAATGGCCGTCCCCTTTTAATTTTTGGCTGTCACCACGATACACTTACACGGAATTACACTGTGTAAGTGTATCGTGGCTATCATCACAGTCTTTCTTTCTTATCTGTCACTTCAGTCAAATCGTCTGTCACGTGTTGATTCTTCTTCTTATTTGTTCAAATATCCTGTCACTTCGTAAACAGTCTAGTCGTCTTCTTTTCGTCGTAATGCCTTGTTTACTCATCATAAATAATCATGCGACAATTTTTAAAAGTTTGGTTGAGTTTACCGAAAGTACAAGCTGAATATAGCCGCAAATGTCAACCATGAAATAAAATATTTCGGTTTGGCAGTGTTGGGGTGTTTTTATAATGGATATGTTGTATGCTTCAAATATAAAGAGAGAAAGCTTTTAAACAGTACATTTTGATTATACTATTTTATGAATTCTGCAATTTTGAATTTATATGAAACAATAACGAGTAAATATTTGTCTCTTTCGAGATTAATTGCTAACATCTGTTGCAATCTGGCAACTGTTGATTTGACGATTGCCAAATCTATCACCCAATCTATCAAAGGGCAATTGCAAAAAAATTCCAATAATTAACTGCAATTAATCTTCAAAGAAACAAATATTTACTCATTCTTGTTTTATATAAATCAAAAATTGCAGAATTCATAACATAATATAATCAAAATGTACTTTTCTAAAGCTTTATCTCTTTATATTTGAAGCATACAGCTTATACAATATAAAAACATGCCAACACTGCTAAACCGAAATTTTTTGTTCCTTGTTTGACATTTGCAGCTATAATCAGCTTGTACTTTCGTAATTCAACCAAAAGTTTTAATGCCTGTACCACAATAAAGACATAAAGTAACATATGGCGTACACAATCAGAATGCCCACTCTCAGATGTCGCATTTGAAGTTTGTCAGCACGCAATCGCCATATTTTAAAGGAGATCATAGATCGAATTGAGAAATTTGTGACAAGCTACGACAGAACTGTAATTTAAATTTTTAGAGATTAATAATTTAGTACATTTGAAATAATTTAATCTATCTCGAGATGCGCGTACTTATTTTTTCAAGCAGAGTGGGCATTCTGATTGTTTATTATTCTGTGCCTGTACATACCGCTCATCGCTCGTAATGGTTTCTCCATATACTTAACTAATCACATGATTACTATTAGCCATGCCATCATTACAAAATCGAATAATATCGCACTTTTTCCCACTCAGTGACATTTTAGCGACTCATTAAGAAACATGAACATGTTTCTAGTGGAATCAGGATGAAATTTTAAAGTTCTAAAAATATTCCTCTCATGGGAAAATTTACTCAAACTATTAAAATTATTGATACAAATTTATTCTTCATATTGATACTCGTTTAGAATATTTTCGTAATAAATTGCATTTTCAAAGATTCACGTACAACTAAAAATTTGTTAAATAATATAAATGTTTAATTTTTTTAATTTTTAAGTTTTATTTTATATCGACACCAAAACTTTTTATGATGCCAGGGTTTTATCTAGTGATATGCTTATAATTAAAATTTAAATGCACATGAACAACCATTTTATGATTTATATAAAGCGGTAAGGGACGTTCGTGATCATATCACAGTTTTAATAAGTTTTTAATATATCCCTTGCCAATCAAAAGTAGGCGAGGTCACTAGAAGTATAAAGTCCCCACTACGGCGTAACAAAAAACTCGCAATGACACACGCTTTTCATGAGCGTTTTTACGTAGTTACGCCTGTCGTGTACCGTTGCGGCGTCTGTTTACTGCTTGTTACAGCGTCGATTAGTGTGTTGTAGCGTCATTTTAGTAAAATGGCGTCTAGGTATCCCATCTGACGTACAGGAGTCAGCTTTTCAACTTCCAGGTGTACTTCGTTAAACTTTTAACTTTTTCCTGTCACCCATTGAGGTTTGTAAACAATTATTCATAATATTTTAAGTATTTGTATAAAGTGGTTGTACATGTGTGCTATCTAAACAATTTTATTTACGTTTTTTGGGATTTTAAACTTATATAGGTGATTCGGGAATTTTACTAGCGATATTTTGTGATATTGAGTTAACTATTTGCTCCTGCAGCGTGATTTCTCTAACCCATAACCAGAACTAAAACACTTGCAATTTTTTATCTTGTCACTCGTTACCACTAGATGCAGTTGAGATTCACATTTTTTGACTCTTTAAAACAACTTTTGAAGTGTTCAAAAGTTGGAACCATTGACCTAAACTCCTCACAAGAAAGACACTTTTTTTATCGCACGTTTACGATGGTTTCGGCAATTTCTTCTAATTTGGATACTTTTAAATAAACAAAGTGAATATTGCACGAGAAAATTTTTAAAAAATGCGACAGCGTGACCTCTACTAAATTAAGACAATGACGTAGCAGTTCAAACAATTCAGATTAAGATGACGCAACATGCTGAAAATCCAATACAGATTCTTAGAAGAAATAGTTCCGCTTTTTAAGTTTCAAAAAGCTAAGATTATTGCTAAATAAATACTAAATTTGAAGAAAATGTATTATACTCTGACCTTTCAGCCCTAAACAAGAACATGAAGCCACCGTGTTTAAAGTTTCAAATTACAAGATGAAAAAGGTGCAAAAATAGCACCTTAAGGAACTAAAAAGTGTCAAAAGCTAAAAAAACACTAAATTGTCAAATAGGGTGCAGACATCGAAGAGGAAAACCATAAATAACAAAAACGTGCCAAAGACGACGAAAGTGCATCAACAACAGTACTTAATCAACAAGTTTGTAATAAACGACAAACTAATGACTAAGATATCGAAAAGTGGCAAATGCCACGAAAAACCACCTAGAGCGTTTAAAAACACGGAAAAATTATGTTTGAAGCATTAAGAAGTGTCTAAACGTCAAAAACGCCGAGAAATGCGTTAAAAACGCCAAAGAAGACAAATAGCTTCAAAAAAGCATTTGTAAAGGCTTGAAAAGAGGGCAAGAATTATCGTAAGACATACAACATGATATAAAAACACTAATGTGTTAAGAATGGTGCAGACAACGTAGAGCAGAAGCACAAATGACAAAACAGTGCCAAAGATGACGAAAGTGTATTAAAAACGGAAAAAACAGTAAGTTCGAAAAAAAAAAACAAAAAAAAAGGATAGTACTACACGACAAATTAATATCAAAACTATGAAAAGTGTCAAATGCTACGAAAAACCATCTAAAACGTTTAAAAACAGGGAACAATCATTTTTGAAGCGTTAATACTGAACATACGTCAATACTGAACACCAAACTATGTCAGAAATATCGAAAAGTGTCACAATCGTATTGGAAGCGCTAAAAAGTGTGTAGGCATCACAAACTTCAAGAAGGGTGTTAAAAAGGACAAAAAAGAGAAATAGTTTAAAACAAGCATTTGTGAACTTAAAAAAAGAGAAAGAAACGTAATGCTTTAGAAAGCATGCAACATGATGTAAAAAGCACTAATGTGTTAAGAAATGTACAGACAACGTAGAGAAGCACAAATAACAAAACAATGAAAAATACAATGAAAGTGTATCAAAAAGGGATAAAAAATAGTAAATTCGAAAAAAAAAACAAAAGGATAGTCCTAAACGAAAAATTAATGTCAAAACTATCCAAAAGTGTTAAATGCTACCAAAAACCGCCTAAAGCGTTTAACCACACCAAGCAATTGTTTTTGATGCGTTAAAAGTTCAGGCGTCAACAACCGCTAAAAAAAGGAGAATACTAAACAACAAACAAATGTGATCGAGCTATGAAAAACCTCACAAAAAAAGGGTTTAAAAACACCGAACATTCCTTTTCAAACGCTAAGGAGTGTTTAGGCATCAAAAACGCCAAAAAAGATAAATAGCTTCAATAAGTAATTGTAAAGGCTTAAAAAAGAAGCAAAAAACATCGTAAGGCTTTAAAAAAGCATTCAAAAGTCGACGAAAGGTGCGTCAAAGCTGCCAAACAATGATAATGGCTTTATTTATCGATCAAACGGCGTTATCGATAAAGCTTTATTAATGTGTTAAGATGCGTTAAAACTTAGGAAAAGTACCAAAAGAAGCAGCAAAAGTATTGAAAGCGAAGAAAGTGTCGAAAACGTCGAAAAACATTAGAGCTTAAAAACAAAGTGAAATGGAAAGAAAAAACGACAGTCACCTTTTAAAAGCTTCGAAATATCGCTTCTAAAGCGTTTAAAATACGAAGAAAGTGTTAAATCGTCAAAAAACAGAACGTCAAAAACAATAAAAAACGAAAATATCTTCAATAAAGTGTTTTTAGAGCGTTAAAAACGGTTAAAATATCTCAGAAAATTGACAAAAAAGTACTAAAAATGACAAAAAAGGTGTCAAAACAACATATTTAAAAATATCAAAAGTTCGATAAGGAGTATTAAAACGTCTAAAGCCCAATATTAGTTTCAATAACGGAAAAAAATCTACAGCTTCAAATAAAATACGTCGTAAAAATGTTAAGAAGGATTAAAACTAAAGCGACGAAAAATCCCAACGGCTTCTAAAAAACATTGTTAAGGGCAAAAATTGTGTCAAAACATAAAAAAGCGTGCAAACAAAACTACAAAAATGTGTCAAAATCAATTAAAAACACCAAAAGCTTGCAAAAGCGAAAGGTGACGGAACGGTGTCAA